TTGGAGATAACACATTTAAAGTGCTATCTTTTGTTATACAATGTCCTTAACTGCATCATTAGCTTAACAAACTTTTCCTGAAAATGTGTAAGCAATTGATTAAACAACATACATTTCAGGAATAACCACATTTTCACGTGGATTCTGGACAGATCAGAAAGAAAGAAAATGAACTGCAGAGCTTTTTGGTCACTGTCTTTAATCTGATTGGAGATTGTATAACTGAAAATAGTTGCACCCTGATAGCTTGTTAGTGGCTCACGTGAAATGGATTCCATTCCAGTGCCTGTAGACAACTCATGATAGTGTCAACTACTGCAGCTGACACAAGCTGGCACCCTGACTGGCAACCTCAGAGTACAGTGCTGATAAAGGAAGTCATTTGGAAGAGAAAAATACCCGGTACAGAGGAACTTAAGTCATTTGCGAGAAGTATAAGGAGAAGAGACCTAAAGAAGAATGTCTTGCATTCGAAAGCTTGTCTAACTCTATCCTGATAATACAGTTGGTCTAATAAAAAATTCACCCTAAGAAAGCCTTGTCTCAAGTATAAGAAAAGGCATACATTTACAACCTTTTTAAAAATCCATTCACAACTTTCTTTATACTGTGTAAACTTAAACACATACTAGTCAGAATACCAAGAATATAGTAGGCCAAATCCTGTGCTAGGCCATGGTACATAAATGTCAATGGTGTGTAAATCAATGCTGCACCTGGCCCATTGACTTCATCAGGCATAATAAAAAAAAAAAAGTTTTTAAAGAGGAAACTTATAGGCCTGATCTAAAACCCAGCAAAGGCAATAGTGAGACATTGGAAGCTTTGGTCCTGAGAAAATATCTTGATTTTAAAAGTCAGAAGATGTACTTTGGCTTCATGGAGACGGTGGAATTAAGTTTACAAATGCAGTTTTCTTCCAGGATGTTACATGAGTGTCCTTCCCAGAAATATTGAACATTTGCCACTAAAGGCTCTTCTTAACTAGAAAAATGAAGTCATGGTATTCGTATCTGGATTATCCTACTAGAAGCTGATGCAATGCCAAACACAGCTAGTTCCCATCTGCAAAATCATGTATTTGTTGATGAGGAGTCCAGTTAATTACCTAACCCTCTAATGAAGGCAAGCCCTTAACCGGAAAAAGGTGGTTTAGAGCATTGTCCTCAGCAGTAAATCTTATTTCTGTGTATCATCACTCCTTTTTGCAACACTGATATAGAAAGGTTGTACTAGTTTAGCTCGTGTCATCATGGTGCCATAAAGAAACTCCAGTAGTATCATTTACTTTTGCATTTAAACGAAGCTACAGCTTGGTTCCCCATTCCTTTGGGGGAAAAAAATGTTCAAGTGAGCCAGGATGAATCCTATCTTGCCTTTTCATTGGACAGAATACTCTGTTATTGCTCGTACTTTGCTTTGAAAAGATGCCAGGATTCTACAACGATCGCCTTCTCTCAGGGACTCTTGTATTGGAAGCTCTGTTACATCAGTGTCGCATACATCCCATAGCAAACCCAGAACATGGTACACAGACGCAAAACACTTCATTCTAATTTCACCAGTCTGAGAGGTGAAAATAATCTCTCTATAGTACGGTATTAACAAACATAGATTATTAATGTGTATTTTTTACGTGGTATATACTTTGGCAGGAAAAAGAAGAAAATCCAACATATAGCTAGATGTATAGTCCAAGGGTTGTAACTCATTTTCATCTGTCCTCTCTAGCAGAGTGTGTGTGTGTGTGTGTGTGTGTGTGTGTGTGTGTGTGTGTGTGTGTGTGTGTGTGTGTGTGTGTGTGTGTATGCCTCATCTATTTCCTTGGACAGTTGCTACAGACTACATCCCAAAAGATCTAAAGGCAGAGTTCCAAAAAACACCCAATGGTGGTAGGACTCAGCTCCCATTAACACTGAAACAGAAATTGAGTTCTCAGCCACTTAAACATATTTAAAAATCCCACCCTGAAGTCATTTGCTAGCATATGATTTAGGAAGATAGGAACCAGGGACTAGAAGGGGCCTTCTATGACTAGTCCCCAGCATTCACTGGCACTCATCAACTGAAGGAATCCCCAAAAGATTTCTTGGCTATGGATTTGTAAAAACTCAAGGCTTTACAACTTCTGCAATGATGTTAGGCGACTAAAGAATGTAGGGGCAAAGTGTTACAGATACCAAGAATGTAAGGGAAGAGAGGTTACTCCTTAAAAAAATATTTTAAAAATGAATCACTTACTAAAAATGTATCCAGAAACTCACTTCTGCATACAATGAGTGAATATCTGTTATTCAGAGCAAGATGCCACTGTATTCTTACCTCATACTAACTCAAAGTTCATTTTCATAATCCCTTCTACACAAAGTCGGACTGCTGTGAGGATGCCTAGTTGCATGCTAAAGGAATATTTTCTAATACAAATATGCAGTACCAGTAAAAGTAATTAAAAGTTGCCAAACAGATAAAAGGATTCCAAACAGATAAACAGAAGGGACTAGACCTTTAGTTCATGCAAGGTGGTATCCTTCCATGAGCTGAAGATATGGCTCTATCTATTAAAGAAAGAATTCAATTTTAATAGTAAAAGGCACCATAAAAATGTATGTACATAGAAACATGCATATTTTCAACAAAGATATTTTGGGTAATAACATTTTAACTTCAACAAGGAGGACATACCATCAAAGACCTGGGCTGAGTATGAAACTCGGACGTGCAAAAGAATCAAATAAAGATCAGTACTCTTTGTCAGGCAGCTGATTTTGTAATGACTTCCAAATGGTGACACCAGTGTACACTGACTTTGTAAAATAGCAGCTAGGCTGAGTCCTTGGAAATGTTAGGGATGAGCTGCACTGTATCATCTCCTATATACATTTTTTTTAAAGACATACAATTAACTCATTTTTCTCCATGATTATTTTTTTAAAGCCATTGTTATAATTCTGGCAAAGAACAGAGTTCCAAAATGATCATCTTAGTTACCATTTTAGAACATTTTATGACAAATGCGTGCATGAGAAGGAATAAAAACCTGGCAACAGTTAAGAGAATTTTCTCTTTTTTTAGGCTGAATATTACAAAGCATTATAGAGTGGTCAAGTAATCAAATTACTTGATTGGGTAAATATTACTGGCAGACTGGTTTTAAAGAAAACAGGGTGACTTGAATAATGCGGAACACCATCTGAACAGCAATTTTTTTCTATTAAGCCTGTACAGATGGAAGAGGATCTATTTTTAGTTACATTTTTTTTAAACTATGGTTCTTTATAGACAGTTATAAACTGTGCCTAAATTTCCAGCTGTTAGAATTAGAGGGTGCAGCAAAGACAATTCAGTGAGCTTACAGATGTAAGCCAGTCCTGTATCCTGACTTTGAGCAGTTCATGAATAACTGTAACAGCAACACTTTATAACTAAATTATATGAGGAAAGACAGGGCAAGTGGAAGTAACTGATAAAAAAAAACCCAACAACAACAAGTACTTGATGTACCTTTTGCAATAACAGCCTAGAGTGTACTCACAGTAACCTATAAAACATATCAGTTCAATTCTTTGCTCTCTAATTTTGCCTAGGTCATGTCTCTGTGCCAAGGTAAAAAATGAAAAAAAAAAGAAAAACAGACCAGCAATAATTCTGTACATTAAAAAAAAATGACTAGTTAAAAAAAAAAAAAAGTCAGTGTGATGCTTTTGGGACAGTTCATAATTTGTGCAATATATAGATGAGTGAATATCACACTGGGATTTGACACTGAAAAGAGATTTTAGTCTGTCATTTGGAGACAATTATACTATTTTCTGTGACAAAGATAATTACATTAAGCTGCAGTTTAATTAAAGCTATTTCCATACACTAGGTATGCTGCATGTTATATCCACAGGCTAAGAATGTATTCACTCTCCAGACCTGAAAAAGAATGTCTTTCATTCGGAAGAACATCTTGCCTAACTCTCTCCCAGCTACGCAGCTGATCCAGTGAAAGGTACCGCCCAAAGAAATCGTTGCCTCTCCCCTCATTCCTGGACCATCACAGCTACAACTACTACTGGCTCACCTCCACAGTGAAGCTGTTCAAAAAATAAAATAAAACCCAACACACAAATCCTCATTTGCAAACCCTGTTTTACATCAGTCAGTTTCCTCCTCAATGGAAGCATTTACATTTTCAATATAACTTGGTAACCTAATACAACCCGACAAGGCAGCATCAGCGTAGTAGCCAGGAGGCTGAGGCATTGAGCTCCAATGCGAAAGCTAAAACTACCGGACAAGTGCCATTCTGCAAGATGGGACCTGGAGTCAAAAGCTATTTGTTTAAAAGTATGTTGCAAGGGCTAGAAAAGCACTCCATTTGCCCACGGTCCCAGCAAAGAGCTTGAACACCCTGGAGAAGTTAGCTCTTGTCCCCTTCCTGCCAGTTTTCTCTCTCTTGAGCACCCTAGAGAAGTCAGCTCTTGTTTCCTTTGTACAAAAATTTTCTCCCTCTCTCTCTCTCTCTGTCAAGCAACTGGGAAAAGTCAGTTCTTGTCTCCTTCCTGCCAGTTCTCTCTCTCTAGCAACCTGGAAAAGTCAGCTCTTGTCTCCTTCCTTAAAAGCTCCTTCTCTCTTGAGCACCCTGGAGAAGTCAGCTGGTCTCCTTTCTGTAAAAGCTCTCTCTCTCTCAACCTGGAGAAGTCAGCTCTTGTCTCCTTTGTGCAAAACCGTTCCCTCTCTTGAGCAACTTGGAAAAGTCAGCTCTAGTCTCCTTCATCAAAAGCTCACTCCGTCTCTCTCTTGAACAACCTGAAGAAGTCAGCTCATGTCCTTTCGGCAAAACCTCTCTCTCTCTCTCTCTCTGGCAACCTGGAGGAATAAAAATCAGCTCTTGTCCCCTTCCAGCAGAAGCTCTCTCTTGTGCACCCTGGAGAACTCAGCTCTTGTCCCTTTCTGCAAAAGCCCTCCCTGCCTCTCCCTCTCTCTCTCAGCAATAAATAAAGGCAAAACAATAACACGCAGTAGGGACTTTAATGCTTCAGCCCGTGCTTGTGTCTCCCAGGCAAAGTGATATTAGGGGTCACTTCCCATGTACGGAGAAAACCAGCTTCGCGGAGAATAATGATAAAACCTTCTGGAATGCAGCAACAACCCAAAAATGTATTCTCAGATGACTACACGAGGGCCAAGTCAATATTAGTCCCACTTCACCCACGCACTGCATAGCCTAAAAATGCTGTCAGCCTGATAAGAATTTCCTGACTTCCTTGGGGCTTTTTTTTTTTTCCTTTTTAACATCTGATCTCCGCAGTGAACGGGAAACAGCTCCCCGACGAGCGCGGGGCAGCCCCAGCCCCCTGCCCACGGCCCTGCTCGACAGCCCGCCGCACGGAGCCCGATCAGCGCCGGGACCTTCCCTCCGCCGGGTCTAGCGCGGGTCCCAGCTCCCCCTAGCCACGGATCCGCGACCTTTCCTGCTGGGGCTAGGGCAGGTCCCAGCTGCTCCTCACCACTGGAGCCAAGATCTTCCCTACTGGGTCTAGGGCAAGTCCCAGCTCCCCCTAACCACCTGGTCCGGGACCTTTCCTGCTGCATCTCGGGCCGATCCCAGAGCCCCCTAACTACTGGCTCCGAGATCTTCCCTAGTGGATTTAGGGCAGGTCCCGGCTCCTCCTCACCGCGCGTCCGGGACCTTCCCCGGTGCATGCAGGGCAGGTCCCAGCTCCCTCTAGCCATGGACCCAGGGCCTTTCCTGCTGGATCTAGGGCCGATCCCAGCTCCCCCTAACCGCGGGGCCGGGACCTTCCCTCGGCTGCACCCGGGGCAGGTCCCAGCTCCCCCTAACTCATGCCGA